CTCGACTTCCTTCAGTTTTACCTGCATAATGTCACATAGAGTCTGTGGAAATTTCCCACTTACTGTTAGTGCAAGATCATCCGCATACGCAATAACCTTACAGCCACCCCCCTCCATGCCACACAGCAGTGAGTTTACCGCTGCGACCCATAATAGAGGGGATAGGACTCCCCTTGCGGGGTGCCCCTCTCTACGAACCTGGTCAACGATACCCCCGCCAGCTCCGCCCGGACCACCCTGCATCTCAGCATTTGGTTTACGAGCGCAACTAAGCGCGAGTCGATGCCCAGGCCCGCCAGTGCTGCCGTTATCGCTTCCGGCATGATGTTGTTAAAGGCGCCCTCTATATCCAGGAAGGCTGCTAGCGTATATTCTTTGATGTCTAGTGATCTCTCTATATACGACACTATTTCATGTAGCGCCGTTTCTGTAGATCTACCTTTCGTATAAGCATGTTGTGTGGTAGAGAGTCTGTCACCAACCGACTCTCTGATACGGACCTCCACCAGTCTCTCCATAACCTTCAGTTGAAATGACGACAAGGTGATGGGCCTGAAATCCTTTGGGTTATTGTGAGACACCTTCCCTGCCTTGGGGATGAACACCACTCTTGATTCCCTCCACTTTCTAGGGATATGGTTAAGAGCTAATACTCCCTTAATTATAGCGTGTAGCCACGCTGAGCTTAGCTGAAGTGTTTGCTGCAGCTGTATGGGGGCAATGCCATCCGGACCTGCTGATTTATAGGGCTTAAATGTCCCAATAGACCAGATGACCTTTTCCCTAGTGAGGAAATCTCCAGTGACCGAAAGATCTCCAGTTAGATGTGGCTGTACCGGCATGCTATCCGTGGCACCCGGGAAGTGTGTGCAAAGAAGCAGACCAGTGATTCCTCCTCGGTCTCTGTCCAGGAGCCGTCAGGTCTTTGCAAGCATCCTGGGGCTTTCTGGGCAGTACCTGAGAGTATCTTTCTGAGCCTGCCTGCCTCTGAGATAGACTCCACCCCATTGCAGAAGTCTTTCCATGAGGTTCTTTTCGACCTTCTTAGGAGCTTCTTGTACTCCCGTAACGTTGTCTTGTAGGTCTCCCAATGTCCCTCACTACCAGACGCAGTAGCCTGATTGAAGGTTTTCCTGCAGTTCTTGCGTGAAATCCTGATTTCTTCATTCCACCAGGGTGGCTTTTTCCTACCCCGGTGCTTATTAATACATATTTCGTTCTATTGAGGTACTGGTAATCGGTATGAAATTTTTATACAACATGAAGTTAAATCCCATGCAATTGCTGTTGGAAAATTTAACAAGTTAAATCATTTAGTAATAATAATAATAGGTTGGCGCTTGCACATATGTTAGTGTTTGGTTGAGATTCTCCTCCGATTTGTGGCGTGCGCCTTTAAGTTGTCACACAAAGAGTTCGTAATTCACTCTCTTAGTAATTCGCTAAGTAATTCGTGAATTATCCTGTTTCCACGACACCAATTCGTAATTCGTTTGGCAGCTCTACTTGTTGTTCTTCGCTATTTATAATTATTTTCGTATACTGCAAATATCGAAGATGGAGCAATAATTTGAGTTATCATCAAAGATTTTAATTTATATAGTATATATTTTATTAATTAGTTTTCCAGCAACTAGAAAAAGTGCCAGCAAATGGAACCAGGCCGGTGAAAACTTCGATATGATTCCGATAAATATTAGAGAAGGCTCCGATTCGTTCGTCAGTCGGTCTGAATTACTAACAAATGAGGTAATTCGCCCTCAAAATTGTGTATGGCGAATGACGTAATTCGAAGGGTAATTGGATGGCGAATGACGAATCGGAGAGCGAATTACGAATCGTGGAAACGTAGTTAAACTCTTTTGTTTTTTTTTTGCAAGTTTGCGAAGATGCTGGAAATGACGAAGATGAAGCAGTAGCAGTCGGCCGAGACTCAGAAACAGCAACACTAGCACTTGAAGCAGCGGGTACGGTAGAACAAACAGAGCGCGAAGAGCGACTCTCACCAGCAGGTACCTATAGCGCTCGTATTGATAGCAGCCAAAGCATTCGAACCCGCCCTCACACTCACAGTATCAGTTATCGTGGCCGATAAAGACGGAGAAGTAGAGGAGACGGAGGAAACAGCAGCAGGTATTGAACAGGCAAAGCAAGCTGTGCTAACGACTTCTTCTTTGTTGTTTAAAGCACTTGTCACTAGGCCACGTAGATGTTTTAATTCTGTTGTTAGTGACAATATATTCGCATGATTATTCGCGAGCTTCGAGTGACAATGAAAAAATGAGTAATTTCGGTACTTTTTGCTTGAATAAACGTTTTTGTCTGCCGCTTGGTGTAGTGGTAAGCAGTGCGCGCTTCCACTCCGCAGCACCTGGGTTCAAGCCCTGGTCAAAGCAACATCGCAAAAAAATATAGAAAAAAGGTTTTTTCTTAACAGCGGTCGCCCCTCGGCAGTTTTTCATAAAAACACAATCGCCGTTCGGAGTCGGCGTAAAACTGTAGGTCCCTCCGCTTTGTGTGACAACATCAAGGCGCACGCCACAAATCGGAGGAGAAGCTTGGCCAAACACTAACGTATGTGTAAGCGCCAATAATAATCCCAACGGTTTTTTTTACCCTCCATTCCCGCCCATCCGCACGAGGGGCGCAATCTGCATGACGTACGGAACCAGTATTTATTTTCAATTTTTGCGCCGAGTCACGATAGGCAGGAGTTTGTTAAATGTCGATATCTAAAACTGTTCATTTAATGATTCATTTATTGAGAGAGGACAGTATCGATTTCTTAATGCTGAAGAGCGGATCTGATATACCAAACGTGCTGGAATGAGAGTTAAAATCCTGGCATAAGCGACGGAGTGGGTCGTGCAATTCAAAATGAGTTTTACAAGCTTTCAGAAATAGGGGACAAAAGTGTCTTGATACCCGGGAGGGAACATTAAGGCTAACTTCGCCCAGAAGATGCGGACTTGAAATTGAGCCTGTTAGTAATTTAACTATAAAAATTGTACCAAGCATTTGCCTGCGGCTGGAAAGTGTAGGAAGATTAATAAGTTTTAATCGGCTGGTATAAGGTGGGAGGTTATTAAACGTTTTAGGGGTAAAATTATTTTTATTGTACTTGTTTCTGGAACTCCAATGATTGAAATAAATGCAAGAAGAATCCTTTAGCTTTTATTTTACCGACAGAAGAGAGTAACACAAAAAAAAAACAACTCGTGGGATTTGATCATTTACTAGATTTGACCAAAATATGACAAGGGATTACGAAATGATAATTTAGAAATTTAAATAATCTGAGCCTGAATAATACTTAAATGGTATGTAAACAATGTATTCTTACAGTTTCGAGCATTTTCATTAATCCTAGAGAATTATATTGACCTCAAAAGGCAAGAAATTATTTTCTTACGTGTAATTTTTATGGGAAAACTAAACGCATTGCATTTCTGCCATGAAAAACAGTTTTTCATAAAAACACAATCGCCGTTCGGAGTCGGCGTAAAACTGTAGGTCCCTCCGCTTTGTGTGACAACATCAAGGCGCACGCCACAAATCGGAGGAGAAGCTCGGCCAAACACTAACGTATGTGTAAGCGCCAATAATAATCCCAACGGTTTTTTTACCCTCCATTCCCGCCCATCCGCACGAGGGGCGCAGTCTGCATGACGTACTGAACCAGTAATTATTTTCAATTTTTGCGCCGAGTCACGATAGGCAGGAGTTTGTTAAGTGTCGAGATCTAAAACTGTTCAGCTACAGAACTAAATTCATCAGCCGATTTTATGTCTTCATTTAATGATTCATTTATTGAGAGAGGACAGTATCGATTTCTGAATGCTGAAAAGCGGATTTGATATATCAAACGTGCTGGAATGAGAGTTAAAATCCTGGCATAAGCGACGGAGTGGGTCGTGCAATTCAAAATTAGTTTTAGAAGCTTTCAGAAATAAGGGACAAAAGTGTCTTGATACCCGGGAGGGAACATTAAGGCTAACTTCGCCCAGAAGAAGCCGACTTGAAATTGAGCCCGTTAGTAATTTAACTATAAAAATTGTACCAAGCATTTGCCTGCGGCTTGAAAGTGTAGGAAGATTAATAAGTTTTAATCGGCTGGTATAAGGTGGGAGGTTATTAAACGTTTTAGGGGTAAAATTATTTTTATTGTACTTGTTTCTGGAACTCCAATGATTGAAATAAATGCAAGAAGAATCCTTAAGCTTTTATTTTACCGACAGAAGAGAGTAACACCAAAAAAAAAAACAACTCGTGGGATTTGATCATTTACTAGATTTGACCAAAATATGACAAGGGATTACGAAATGATAATTTAGAAATTTAAATAATCTGAGAATGAATAATACTTAAATAGTATGTAAACAATGTATTCTTACAGTTTCGAGCATTTTCATTGATCCTAGAAAATTATATTGACCTCAAAAGGCAAGAAATTATTTTCTTACGTGTAATTTGTATGGGAAAACTAAACGCTCGACGCGGGAGCTCTTAGAATGGTTGTAGAGAGGGGAGATGCGTGGAGTAATGGTCATTACTATCCCAAATGCTAAAATTTGAGTCTTATTATGGTCACATTGCAAGTGTTTTGACATGGTCCAATATATTTTCTATATCTATGTACATATATATTATGCTTTTTGTTATAATATCATCGTTTCTTGCAGTCTTTTAAGTTGTGTTAGAAGAAGAGAGAACATTTATGTTCACAGAAAAAAATTCACATAATTATATATAATCAAAATTAATCAAAACTAAGTAAATTTATTGTAGAACTAATCGCATTTGTTTTTTTTTTATTATATTTGATTTTTTTTACCAATTGGCTAAAAATACGATAATTGTTTGATTATTTTTAATGCTGATTATTAATTTAAAAGTGGAAATAATGTTAATTACTCATTTAGCAGATTGAAAAAAAAAATTAATTAAATCGGTAATCATTACAATTTAAATCATTACTTCAAGGCTCTGGTTTTACTTACTGCTCATTTGGTTTCAATTCTTCACCATCCTTAAACCAACGAATTAGTGGAAGGGGACTTCCGAGCACTTTGCACTGCAGGACGAGGTCTTCATCTTGAGATATTTCTTTGGCGTTATCGAACTTTGATTCAAATGATGGAGCCAATTCCAAAAGGGAAAGTTGAAATTGTGCCTCACTGGAGCCTATTTGGTTTTTAGCAACAACAGAATACTGAAAAACTCAAATTGAATAAGACTGCAATTTATGAAAACAAAAGTCATACCGTTCCAGCATCTGTAGGCTTAAAATTAGATATTTCAAATTGGCTTCCCAATTGATCTGAACCTTGTGAAAAATGTTTTAAACTATACGTTTCCTCGTTACTCATTTTCTTAATTCCGTCGTGGATTATCGTAAGACCTTTTTTCCATTCAATTGTCGGTTTCGGTATGCCATGAGCCAGCACATGTACAACGGCCGGGAAATAGTCCTGTACTGATTGATCCTCCGGTAATGTTATAAATGTCGGCTTCTCGACTAAAAATTAAAACAAAATCCCAGTTTAAAATAAAAATCATTCATTATACATAAATTTGTTGAAATTCAATATCGAGTGAGTTATCATTTTTAACCGACTTCCAAAAAAGGAGGAGCTTACCAGTTCGTCGAAATATTTTTTTTTTGTATGTATGTTACCGCATAACTTTGGACCACGTCAACCGATTTCGATAATTATTTTTGCAACGGAAAGGTAGTGTCTCAGAGGTGGTACTAATTTGGTTTAGATCCGATCATTGAATCATGAAATATATATATATATATATTTTTTTTAGTCGGTTTTTTTTTTGCTAAAAATTACTTGTTTTTGTTTTGATCCATATGCATACTTTAAGGACCGCTTGTAAAACATCCAGGCGAAAATATAAATTATTTACATATAAAAATGAATGACTGGAATATAAGCCGTTCATCCGATTGCGATGAAATTTATGTGAGTTATTGGGCGCATACTCGAGAGGGTTGGTATATGGGAGGTTCTATAGGAAAGTGGACCTCGGTGCAAAAATTATTTCCTTTATAAAACTAACAAACGTGTGGATAAGCCATTTGTAAAAATCTTTAATCAACCAAAAAAATAACAAATTAAAGATTTAAATACATTTTTATTATGTTTTTTACGTTTTGAAATCAAGTTCTAAGTAAATTTTTTGATTGAGTTTAAAGTAGGTTGTGTTGAATGAGTGTTTGGTACGAAAATATATAGTAGAACCCATCTACTTTTAATAAAATTGTGTTATATATTAAATTGTGTAACTGCTTTATCTATATTATGAGTTATTATTAAGCAGTATTGGTCTTGTCCCACCCGTGACAAAAAAACTTGTTATATTTAATTACAGAAGTTGAGGTTTTGTTTCGTGTTTGTTACATCATGTTAGAATATTTACCATAATTGCGTTGTTGTTTCCACGTAATTAGATAAGAATAATTCGACAGAAAAGTATGTCCCACTCGTGACAGCTATTTGTGGGACAGTTGTCAGAGGTAGGTTTACAGGGCTGACAAGCTTTATTTGTTTGTTGAGGTGGACGAAGGGTAGGAGGGCCCCCCTCCATGCGCGGACTCGTCCATTGTCTATATACCCTTGTGGTCAGCTGATTAAGTTCAGTTATATTTTGACCAGTTTTGGTTTTTTATTTTGTTAATCTAATGTTTATAGTTTTTTCTTATAAAGGTCTAGCACATTACCTAGCCAGAACCACATAAATCTACATTTCAAACTTCTTACAAAATTATAAAATATCAACAAACTTTAACAATTACACCCAAATATTTTAAACTTTTTGTTCAAAAGTTTTAGGTATGCAGTTTTGTAGTCCATTAAATTTAAGTAGGTAATAGTAAACCTTTCAAGATACTAGGAAATCGCGTTCATTTTTAATAATTTTTTTTGGCTGACGGTACTAAGCACTTCTTCTATATAAAAGGTACCATCCTAAGAAAAAACGTGAGTGAATTTAACCCCTACTTCCTCATCATTGTCGGTGTCCTTGCCGTGGGGATGGGGCTTAAGTGGTAATATGGCGGCTGCTTCGGCAACCGACATATCACCACGAGCTAAGAGAAAAGCTTGTAAAGTGATCTGATGCCGCTGTATCAACCTCGCCCGCTGGGTAAGTGTGATACTAGCCACTCTAGTTTCCATGCGAGATCACCGCACCGACGTCCCTATCCCTAATCCTACCCCATCCCATCTTCCCTCCTCTCCTCCAAATAATCCTGACTGGGGAGTCATTAACACACACCCCCCTAATCCGAGATAGCCCGTGTCTATCGGATAGGTTTGCAGTCGGGGTTATTCAGACTGTATTTTAGCGGTGCACCTCTCTGATACCTGCCCACCTCAGGGGGTAACGGCGGGCTTACCGTGTTATTGGGGGCTATGACACGACGGAAAGTTCTGAGCCCTACACTCGTGGGAATTCTTATGGAGAAAAACAACAAAAAAAAAAACAAACAAAACACCAGCAGGCACTTATACCGCACCACAAATAATAAAAATAAAAATAATATCGAACATACTGATAGCCAGGACCCTACACGACAACGGAAGGAAAGTCAGGGGCGGGTGGGATCTGAAAATGCTTCGGCAGCCGAAAATGACATACCACAG